TCCTGTTCCCCCCCCACTGGCGCCCTACAAACATTTCGCACGACACCGCTCGGCTCGCGGAGCACGCAGCCGCTCTCGGGTGCTTGCTCCGAACGTGTCGCCCCTTGCTCCCCACCACCCGCCATTTCTTTCACGTGGCGGTTTTTCATCCCCATCCCTTGGGGCAAACGGCAGCAGATGCAAATCGGCAGCGAAGAAGCGTGGTGCTCCGTGTCAGCCGCGCTGCCGGGGCCTTTGCTCAGCCACCCGTGCGGGAGGCTGTGACACCCGCGTCCTGCCAGAGGGAATCCTGCCTTGCCCAGCTCCCGGCCGAGCCGAATCCACCACCCCCACCCCCGGCACGCTGCACTGGCTACGGTGTTATTTCACTGTTAATCTGGCAAAAATGCGATGAGTTCAACTTTCATGCGATGGTTCTCCTTCTCCGGCTGGGAGCTCACCCCACCGGGACACGGAGGGTGGAGCTGCTGCAGATGGAGGTGGTAGGGCCACCCCCCCCCAAAACCAGTTATTAATTATTATCTGATCAGAGGTGCTGGCTGTGCCCATCAGATGCGAAGGGCTGTGTGTCTCCTCCCTGCCCACCTCTTTGTTTTCCCAGTGTTGAGCAAAAATTCTGCATGTTTGGCTGCGGGTGCTGAGGACCGCTTTCAGGGCAGATGGGACGCTGCTTTTCAAAGCTACGGAGACCAGCGAAGCGTAACCCGGCACGAGATTCTGCTCAGCCCCCAAAAACGCGGAGGGACGAGCACTGCCCGAGGGGCTCGCGGCGCCGGGGCCACCCGGAGCTCGTCTGCACGGGCCCCGCCAGGCTTTCAAGGGAACTCGGTGCTCCAGCGAGACAGGCTGTACCCGCTCGCCCGCTTTCTCCCGGTCCCTGGGAAGCGATGCAGTGAGAGAAACTACGCTCCCGTCCCGGGTGAGGAAGTGAGAAGCGTGTCCCCACCTGCGGAGGTTGAATTCAGGCGGTAGTGGGTGCGGGAATGCACCCGGGATGCCATTCCGGGAGGGAGCATCCATCGCGGGGGCAGCTCTGTCCCCGGGACAGGAGGGAAGATGCAGCCTGGCAAAAACCAGTCAGGGGCTTGTGGCACGGTAGCGATGGGCACAGCGGAGCCCGTGCAGCCCCCTCCGCTCCCCAAGGGACTCTCAACGTGCCCCCCTCCTAACAAAGCAAACAGCCAAAACATTGCTGGAGCAGGACACGCTGCGCTGCAATGGGTTGGCAAAAGCGACAGATATCCCGCTGGCAGATCCAGCCTCCTTCCCCCAGCCCAGCCGCTCTCTGGAGGAGGGGAAAATTCCTTTCAATAGCTCGGCAGAGAGGAATTTGGCCTCGGCGCTGATGGATTGGGACCCCGGGGACCCCGGCGCTGCTGCGTCCTCGGCAGCGGAGGCGCGGGCTGGCGCGGTGCTCTCAACACCCAGTGCCGCTACTGCCCCCGCCACCGGCTCCCAGCTCTCGCTGAAGCTCCCCGGGGTTGGGAGAGATTAACCTTCGGTTTCAAATAAAGAGAGAAAAACCATTTCTCTAACGCTTTTGGTGGCAGCGGAAGCTGAAAAACAATTAGCAAAGACCTAGAAGATTGTAAAAAAACCACCCCCAAACCCATGAGGTTTCAGCAAAAGCCCGGTGCACCGTTCGCTGGACCGGGCTGATGTTGGCTTTGCAAACACTCGTGGTCGGCAGCGTAAGGGGGTTTGGGGGCTGCCCAAACGCAATTAATGCCTTTTCCATGGGCCATGAGAGCAGGGAAGGAGTTGGACACGTTCCTGCAGGACGTGGAGCCT